TCTTTTTTTTTCTTTATTCGGAGCTGTTGTTCCCGCCCGTCAATCAGTAGTTGTGGACCTGATGGAGAACTGCAGCAGAGGGCGGGTGCAATGCTAGTTTGCTATTGGCAATTGCAAATTGAAATAGCCAATAGGAATCTAGCAGTGCATTCCTATGGCCCCAATTTTTTTTTTCTATTCTGACACAGCTCCGTGTCAGAATAAAGAAAAAAAAGAAGAAGTAGTGTTTCTCTCCTTGGCGGCCGGGAGCGGGTGACTCCCAGACCACCAGGAGAGTTAGGCTGTTTGGAGATCAGTGTGCCTGGTTAGCTGTTAACGAGGGACGCTGATCTCTCTGCAAGTGGCCGGAGCCAGCCGCAAGATCATGGCTGGCTCCGCCCAGCTGTCAGAAGCAGGGCGTAGGCCGGCCAATTTTTTTACTTTTTGTTTTTTTACACTTACCTTTATTGCTATCCCATAGGGGGCTTCTTTGGCTCGTGATAGCCAATATACGACAGGTCCTTTTTATGGTGACATTAGGGGTTTTTGGGACCCCTAATGTCACCTAGGGACCCCCAAAGAAGCTGATGAAGCACAGATCTGCTTCACCAGCTTCTTCTCTGGCTATAGCAGCCAGAGAAATGACAGCTATGTGTATTACATCACTTCCGCCTTCCCTGCAAGTAGCCACTGTGACGCTCCCGATCTTGCAGGGAGGACAGTGGAGCCCAGGATAACCGGCAGCGGAGGTGAAGGGGAGGGAAGCGGTGGAGGCGGGGGGGTGGCTGCGTATCGCCGTCATATAATCTATCGGACTGCTGTACAGTGGCCCGAACGCTTGTATGTCACATCCAGTACCAGCTGTTAAAAGATTTTTGGGGGATTAAGGGCCGGTCCATACCACAAACTCCACTATCCAGTGCGCTCGGCCTCTGGAACGCAAGCCGGCCGGCTCCCTGCGTTCAGATGCGGGAGGGGGTGTGGCGGTGCATTGAAGTCAATGGCACTGCAGCCACGCTCCCCACCCGCAGTGCGATCGCCCGCACCCGGAACGCAGACACATTAGTGTCTGTGTTCCGGTCCAGTGCGTTCTGCAAAAATACTGCAACCACTATTTTTGCAGAACGCACTACACCGGAATGCAGACACTAATGTGTCCGCATTCCTGGTGGCGGGCGGGGGGCGTGGCTACGGTGCCATTGCCTCACCACACCCCCTCCCGCATCTGAACGCAGGGAACCAGCCCTCAGAATTAAAAATATCCTGTAAATACACGTCCACCCACCGGGTATTCACAATGGGCAGACGGCAAGCTAACTAGTTTTTATTAACTTCCTTTAGCCTTTATTTCATTCTCTATTTTACCTATTTTTTAAGTTGATTATTTGTTTTTACATCACTACAGCCAACAAAAAGCACAAAAAAATAAACCTTTATTTGATTTGTTAAGAGGGTCACCACGTTTTGTAGCTGTAATAAGTAGACACATAATTTTATCACCTTTTATAAAAGGAACAAATTGCAGAATAAAATTAGCATTTTTTTATTAGTGCCCAGATGAAATAATACATTTTTTTAACTTCATGTTTGACAAACTAAATTGTCACATGTTTGAAAAATTAGTTATGTTGTAGATTATGTTGAAACCACGAAAAAAAAACAACTGTTTTTCAAACACAACTTATTTATTCTATTTAAGAAGATGGATTTTAAGTAAAAGATTCTAGCAAAGAAATTAAGATTTTAATTTGTTTGCCACAGAAATCGTCAAAGAAAGTGTTAAAAAAAAATCTAAATTTCAGTATCTCTATGTTGTCATAATTGCAAAACAATATGCTTAACTTGGTAAACATTAAACTTACTCTACTAGTAACAAATGCAAATTTTTGTATATGCAAGGTAAATAGTCTGTTCAAAGCAAAGCTATTACATTGTTTAAAGGCAATGCTAGCCAATTTTTTGACCTGAGGAAAAACAGCATTTCAAACATTTAAACTGAACATGTCTGCTCACCTAACTTTCTAAAGTGGCTGCTCTTGATATCAAAATATATTTGGAGAACTCCCAAAATTCAAGTGTTCTGGTCTACCAATACCAACCAATCACAACCTGTTGTGGCTGAAGCCACATCTTCCCTCCCTTTTAGATTGTAAACCCTTCTTACCATCTGCTCTTGATTTGTATTGTAACTGTAATGTCTTCCTTATATTGTAAAGCGCTGCATAAACTACTGGCCCTATATAAAACCTGAATAACAATAATAATAAACTATGCATTTCTTATAGGCAGTAATACCACTATTTGCATTTGGTAGCCACAAGGCATGCACAGATTTTGGGAGGAGTAGACTTGGGATTACCCTTATAAGCTGTGATACTGGCATAAGAAAGTGCATGTATTCTGGGCACCTTAGCACACTGCAAACGTATTTGGACAAACAAAAAACAGTAAACTGCAAACAGTAATTTGGACCGAATTTAGGAAGTAAGTGAACACACAGGCTTCATTAAAGCTGCTAGTTTATGTAGTTTGAAGATGCCTAATTTATTTCACTTATGCAGCTAAATGTCATTTTTTCAATTGTGAAAGCACAAGGTGTCTGAATGTAAAAACTGATGAAATGATGAAAATAAATTATTTCTTGACATTAGTGATTAGTAGTGACAGAAGAATAAGGATGACAGTCATGGCAATCTAAATCAAATGCAGTACGCTTGCTGACATTTCAGCAGCATTATTTTAGACAGGTAAAGAATAAGAAAAGTAATGAAATTAAAGTTATCTTCTTTTTTATGATTTTAATAAGTATATATAAACAAATGTGCACTCCAGTCGAGAGTTGTTTTTTCAGTCACAAAAAGTGCAAATATCCAAGAACACCTGTGTTTTGCCCATACAGGAGGAAGTAAAAGCTTTGCTTTAGTCTCCATTTCCAGCAGCACATACGTTTCCACTTTGTTTTGTTGCTAAAAGCAAAGAAACTACCCGGCCCTTTCAAGTATGGAGAAGCATGTCACCCACTATATGTGACTGTGTTGGTTCAATCACCAAGCACCAGCACATGACAAGAGTCCATAGCGATGTGTAAGCTGCAACTTGACTGACTTGTAGTTCACAAAAGGCGGTATCTCTTGTTCCTGGATAAACAAGAAGAAGCCGAGTATGTGCTACTGGGGATGTGTGATTAAAGTGAACCCTTTGCCTTGCCCTGCATGGGCGAAGAATTGGGTTACTTTAAATAAACTATGAACCTAATGCTTACTAAAATACTGTAAGGAAAAGAAAAAAAGTATCAGGTTGAGCTTTTTATTGTGAATAATGAGCAAGCATAAGCAAGGTTCTTTTTTTACAGATTCAGATCTGCACAAATTTAAATAGGAATAAATAGTGTTCATATTAGCACACATCAAGTGAAACTACGCTGCCCATCATAAACTACCAACCCTGCAGGAAAATATACTTTATCTTTGTCCTTACAAAGATGGCTTTATTTCTGTTACACAAGAAAATGTGATGCATACTTACTATTCAAGAGCAAACACTATCTTTCATTTAATTTAATTTATTTATTTTAAAAAATACCGAACAGAGTGGCAGATGATTAGGGTTAGACCAAGCGTGGCAACATACATTCTGCATATCCGTGCTTAAAGATGAACTTCATGGTAGTGGAGAATACAGAATTCCATTGGGTAGACATTAGCTCAACTTTTTATTTTATTAACCGGGAGATCAGCACACGATCGCCTTTCGCTCTCCTTTTCAGTGTCAGAATGCAGGAAGTGATGTATATTACATCACTTCAGCATTCTGCTGTCACTCTCCGGCTTCAGAAGCTGGAGAAGCTGATGAAGGCTTCACATGTTTGGTGTCTTTTTACCCGATGTGACCTTATCTTTGATATTTTACCCAAAAAGTTGGTAATAATAAATGTATTATGACATAATGTAAAAAAAAGTGTTTTTTTTCTAAATTTTCGGTAATTTTTCCTTAATATAGTAAAAAATAAAACCCCCCAGTTGTGATTAAATACCACCAAACGAAAGTTCTATCTGTCCCCAAAAAATGTTATAAAATGTATTTCAGTACAGTGTTGCATGACAGAATAAATGTCAGTCAAAGTACTGCAGCACTGAATACTGAAAAATATCCTGGCCAGGAAGGGGGTGTAAACACCTGGTCTTTAAGTGGTTAAAAAAAAAAGTAAAACAAAAAAGTCAGAATGGCCAACGGGTAAAGTACCTGTTATTAGAAAAAAATTACTTTGCAAATCCAGTTGATTATGACAGAATATTATTACTGGCCAAGGGCATGTGAATAAAATGAACACAAACTGGTACTCTGCAGCTCATAAACACATACATATGATGTATGGTAACATGAAATGGTAAGAAGAAAATAAATATGGCTTGGTAGCCTTATTTTATGTAACATTATTAATTATATATGTGTGTACAAAAGGAAATGGATCAAAAGGCTAAAGTGATGCAAAACTGTGTGGTGTCTGAGTAGCAGTAAAACATGTGGTCCAAGGTCCAGAGTGTAGGCACTTCCAGGTGATCCTAAGAGCATACCGGAAACCTAAGATTCTCCATATACAAACTGTGGCCAAATGTCTGTGTCTGACACCACCTCCCTCCCTCTGCAACCTCCGACTATATCAGTGATCGTGTGCTTCACATTTGGTGCACAAGAAGAAGAAATGGAGGCAAAAGGAGGCAGGTCAGAGCTCAACCACGGAAGCAATAGTTTATTATTTTTACAGTTCATATTTTAGTAATTAAAATAAAAAAGAAACAGTTTTGGGGCTCATGATGTCCTCAGAGGACATCCTAGAGGTAACTGTACTATGGACCTGGGACTACCTCAACACATAAACCAATTTCATTCACTCTATTCACTCTATATTGCTGTTTTATTACAACACATGAAATGTTATTTGCAATAAAGTTGCTTTTGGATGGCTCGGCAGAGTCAATTAAAATATCTTACGTTAAACATTTATTAGACAATTTAAATAAACAAAAATCAATACAAAACAGTTCCTATACAAGCAATGTGCATCAACTATCATGGAAGATGTTTGCAAAACAGTAACAACATATGTCAATTCCTATTTTTAGACACTAGTATTTCAGATGTTGCTGCTGTTGTTCCTTTCACCAAGGAGAGTGGCTATTGAGTCCAGCTTAGATAACTGTTCTGTCAGCAGCTCATTTTGTTTGCACATGAAATGTAATTGTTGTTGTCTATAGATCTGAGTGGTGGCAATTTGTTGCTCATACAAGGCATTAAATTTGTCGAGGTGATTGTTCAAAACGTCAAGTCTGTTCATTAAACATTTGCGATGGCTTTTTTGTTTGTCCTGCAATCTTTCACTTTGTGGAACATCAAACACATACTGCTGATGATCCATATTTCTTGTACGGTATGCTGTATGCCTGTGTAATGCGGGAGCTGGAGGAACAACAGCAGCATCTGTAACATCAGAATCAGCTACACCAGCACTTTCTGGAGCAACGGAGTTAACACAGTTAGGAAAGGTTTCAGCTGCAGAGGAGTTACCAACTGGATGAGAAGAGTGCTGTCGATAAAAAGTTATTGGGGTATCCATATTTGTGGTATTTTCATCGTCATCTTCTGTGTCTAGATCTAATCCCTGAGCAGTTACAGAAAGTCCACTTTCACTTGAATTCTCTGAGTACAAGAGTAACGTTCCAGGTTGCTCTGTTTAGGGAATTGCAAAAATGGAGCAGTTAATTTTCAAATTTGTTAAACTATATGCACAGACAAAAAGACAGGAAGTGAAGGGTAACCTCTCCAATGCCAGATGGCAATAAAATAAAGCTTACAAACAGCAAGAAATGTTGGCTTCAGATATACATTAAATATCACAGAGGTAATAGAGAGTCTCATGGATTCACATATATTAGTTACAATGCATATTGAATTGGCAAAGCATGCATCATTTTTGGTTACAACACACGACTCATATGCTTTCCAATACTGAAGGAAATTTGGACCTAAAATGAACAACACTACTTAAAAAAACTCTATATGAAATCAGTATTGATGGACAAACCATAAGCAGAGGTTACCTTCAGGGAAAACCTCTTGTTAAAATGTTCAGGGGGTCCACAGGTAGAAGCAGATGCAAAACTTGAGATTGTTTTTATCTGTGAAACTAAAGCTCAGTCATCCAATCCCTTCCACTACCATACAAATCTTATTTTGTCCTTTAATGCCCTTTAATGTCATTGTTGGATTTATGGACCAATATAGAGGCTTGGAGGGGTTGCGAAGAAATGCTCCACTTTTACATCTTCTGTAGAGTGCAGAAGGCAGCCTATAATGTCCGACTCCTGGTCATGAAAACCCTGATGGGCAAGGTGGTGTGCATCAGGTGTCATGTGGCTAAGGCATTAATTGATGAGGACTGTGCCTAGTGGAGAAATATCCCCAAAAAATCTAAAGAGAACTAAGGTAAACTGACACCTTTAAATACTAAAAAGCAAAACTAACACAAATCATAGCAAAACCTACCTTTAACATGCTTTGAAGAATCATAGCCTCCATCTATTCCAATAAATGATTCCTTATATACATATGGTTTTAGCAATTCCTCATAGTCATGATAGAATATCTTTTTTCCTGGTACACCAACACCCGATCTCCTAAATATAAAAAAAAGGTATAGAAGAAACTTTGAGGCATAAGTCCAAAAAAAAAAAGTCCATTTATTCAAAAATTTAATAAATGCACCCACATTGATAGAAGAAACAAATGTGCATTAATTAAATGTTCGCATTAAAACCTGCAGAGCATTGAAACCGTGATCAGTGAATGCAATATAACGTCTCCTGCACTGTTTACATCCCAGGCCCAGCTGCATACGGAGGTACAAACCCACCATTATGGGGCTGAAGGGAGCAAACTTTGGACTATAAGTGTGCTGATGATACTACACTTGTGCTCCATTGAGATCCCTCTGCCACAGTGGTAGATAGGATTCCTGTAAATGGGTGCCATGACTCTGTAGGCAGAGCCATGCAAAATTGAAAAAACTACATATGGGTGCAGGGAGAAACACCCTGTGGTAATTAGTGGGTGGTTTGAGGATAGGGGATTGGGGAATGTGACCATGTGCCATGTTATGCTCTAAATATGCAAGTAACAACTTTAAATTACCAGCACACATGGGATGCAGTTTCAATCTTCTTCGTAATTTATTAAAATGTCACATTAAGCCATGTAATCTAACGTTTCGGGAGCACGCAGGGACCCTTCATCAGAGCAACGCAGTGACGTCATTGTGTAGCTGTTAAATTAAAGTTGTCACTCGAAAGTTCTGCATGGTGCCATCCGTGACATCACTACGAGCACCACCATTACTCTATGGTCGCAAAACGCTGTAAGGTGTGCAGGTGGTTTCTTTGCAATATCGACACTCTAAATATGGTCACAAAGGTGAACTATGTTTTTAAAGTGGTATTAAAGGGCATTTACCTTAATGCATTCTCTGCATTAAAGTAAAAAATGCCCTGTACCTTTCTGTGTCCCCCGTCCCCCCCAAACTTACCTGTCAGCACCGATTGTAACCGCCCTGGTCCCCAAATCTATCCTGTGTTCCAAACTTCCTGGTTGCGGGGTAGAAGATTAAGGGTAGAGGAGCCATAGGCTCCTTCTGCTGTCAATCAACCTATTGGGCGGAGAAAAGGGGCGTGGCTGGCCGCGGGCTGTGTGTGTCTATGGACGCACGCAGCCATGGCTGGAAAGGAGCATGCACGGGTGCCTCCGTAGCAGCAGTTAACTGATAGAGACGTCCATGCAGGGGGAAAGCACTGCAGGGACCACTAGGAATTAAACGATTAAAAAAAACCACACAGGATCTGAATCCTACACGGGTGCTGCTATGTATACAAATAAAAAAAAAGAAAGGTTTAATGTCACTTTAAGTAATTAAGACATGACATAATTTAAAAAAAAAACTATAAAAACAAATTTAACATAGGGATCGTTTAAAAATTACCTGCTTTGCTCTTCATCTGACATTTTCTTTCTCAAGGCAAATTTAATGTCATGAAATCTTTTTTTGACATGTTCATGATGCCTAGGATAAACACCCAAGCTATTAACAGCTGCAGTAATTTTTAGCCAGGCTGCATGTTTCCAGGCAGGATCTGTAGTGGCTAAGTTATTGCCAGCGAGTTTATGAAAAACCGGTATAAGATTCTCCACCAGTACCAAGTTTTCATGTGCAGTAAATTTGGCGTTTCTGAGACGATGCCTGGGGTCCAGTGGTTTCTTTTTCCTGTGATGTTTTTCATTCATTAACTCCCGCTCAAAATCAGATACATCGTTGTCCTCATTAGCCTGCCTTTTGATGTTCTTATATCCAGCTGCTGTTTTTCTTGAGGTGTTAACCGCTTTATTTTCTCCCACTGGCGCAAAAGTAGTTTCAATTCTGCAAGTGTCTACAATTGGAATTAACTGTGCGACAGCCTGAAGGAAAACGAATAAGAAAGCTTTTCAACATTACATCAAATGTTCTCATTAGATGTTTTTACAATTGTTTTTAAAATAACATATATCAAGAAGACATCTGATAAGATATCTATAAGCAAGTTCATTTACACAGCTACTGCTAACTCCACAGATCAGTTTGTCTGTGACAACATTAAATCTGAATTAGGAATTCAGTACATGGCTATGTATTGTACTTCACAGGGCAGTTTATGTGGGCACAATTCAATCAACTCAACAAAAGACAAGGACTGAGCTTTTCATTGTAGCATTATGAAGATCTAAGGTCTGATTGACAGCTTGCGACTGATTATCACAGTAGAAGAAATAGTAATATGGGCAGACTTTCTAACCTGCCTAATCGATGGATCCTAGGCTTATAGCACACGTTGCAATCTTTAGTAAATCTGTAGATGTACGAAGATGTGAGCATTGTCCTCGTATGTCCATGGCTTGAATCAGCAAGAACAATTATCAAGTGATAACTGAACAAGAAATTGAATAAAATGCACAAAAATAGATTAGGACTTTTTTTATTGGAGCAAATTACCTTTCTGTTATTGAGTTAAGCAGCAGGCAAGTTATCAGTAACCCCCACATTGGCTATTGTTGCTATTGGTCTTGAACAAGTTGGGGAGATATGATGCTCCTCAACAACTACATATTTACCTTGTTGTGAAGTATTTGTTTAGGATTTTAAAAAAAATATCCATCCATATTTTGTAAAAAGTAAATTTTAGATAGTTTTGAAAGTTATTTTTAAAATAATGCAGGCTCACATCCCCATAACTAAAAGCAGATCTCAGTTCTTTCCCAACTTTTTTTTTCTACTGCAGGTATGTAACCGGGAGCCTTCAATGAAATCTAAGTTTTATGTTTGTAAAGGTTTTCATTTATCCAGGTGAAGACACTTTGAGTGGTAAAATATCAACATTACTAGAAAGGTTCAGTAAACTGTTCCCAATTACTGCTATAAGTACATTTCAAATTCTCTTGGTCCATAAAAATTGCTTTAGTTAGGTTACTAAATGCAGACACAGATGATTATTGCACACACGCAAATTCAAAATATGCTCCTGACACTTAGCTCCCTTACAGCACAGCAACTGAACTGTTTGTCCACAACATCATTCCTCATAATTTATATTCAATAAATTCATGAAAATATTTATGCAACGTGTATAGAATTTGATTAGGTTCCCTTAGTGAATATGCCTTACTTTAAAAAATTCCTCTTAAAATAATAGAAAACTTTACAAAAAATAGAGCTAAAATAAGCACTCAATATTCCAAGTGCAAACACACATTTTATTAAGATCACATTGAATTACAAGATTAAAGTGCAACTCCAGCCACTTTTTATTAGTTTATTTTTAGATAGCATAGGGAAGGGTTAGAAACCCTTCCAGGTTTTTTACTGCTGTGGGCTGTAGAGTTCTAAATGTGATTATATTCTAAACAGATATTTCAATGGTGCTTCTAGGTTTTTTTTAATGCTTTGTGATCTTAAGAAGCCTCTAGGATAGACCTTATAGAAACTTAAAAAAACAAAAGGTAAAGACCAAATCGCCACAACCTAGCGCAATGACTGTTGTGGGAACAAGGCTGGAGAAATACTGTGTTCAACTCACCTGTGGAGGGGTGAGCAGTCGCTTTTGACACGCAATGGAGGAGGAGAGTGTGATGCGATGGTGTACTCTACACCATCTTTACTCTACACCATCGCATCACGCTCTTCTCCTCCATTGCATGTCAAGTGCTCACCCCTCCACAGGTGAGTTGAATACAGTATTTATCCATTTTTCGATTATGCAGCGCGAACACAATGGTAAATTAGTGATTTATCCAGCCTTGTTCCCACAACAGTCATTGCGCTAGGTCGTGGCGTTTCGGTCTTTATCTTTGTTTTTTCAGCACGCACGCCGGACACCCCGGTCCGGACAAAACAGAAGCTGCACACCAGCACAAGACGCCTTGGGTCCCCCCTCCCCCTCGTTAGATCATTGAAATCTTTAGATGGGGAAATTCTCTTAATTTTCCCCTTATAGAAACTTGAAAAGAGGGTAAATATGAGAGCCAATCTACTAGTGAGTGTCCAGAATACGTTTTATAAGATATTATCATTAGTAAAGGAAGGGCAAGCTTAATCTTCATTTAAGCAGAACCAGAGGCTCAATGTACACTCAAGACAGGACCTGGGTCACAAGGGGCTTCAGAGTAACAGGGATTCATTATAAGTCTGATAGAGGTACAATGATAGGACTGCACTTAATCACTGCTGTTACTTAAGAAACACTAAGGCCACCAAAAGAGGCCCCCCCCCCCATTTGTCTCGGAACAGTTTTCAT